CACACACACACAGGAATGATCAATTTTCTGATGTCGCCGAGGCAGAGCAGAGGCTGAAAGAATTGAAGGGGGTAGAGAAAAAATCAATGTTTATTCTTTTTTATTGTTCCATCTTGCTTCCTCCTACATACATCGAGAGCTTAAACGGCACGGCTCATCAATTTTTTATCGCGTGTCACAGCCCCGTTAGAGAAAGCCTGTTGATGCTAAGAAATGTGTCGGAGGCATTGTTTAAGCTGTGAAGGAAGACAGCTGCCTGGAAAAACAAAGGTGCCAGTTCATAACAGCAGGTTAGAGAGGTTTTCATAGAAACACAATGCGCATATCACTATGCAACAGACCAACTTCCTGTAGAGTCTGAGTAAGTAGTGTGTGTGTGTGTGTTAAAATGAGCTCTTAGTTTTTATTTTTAGGTATAATGGTGATTGTAACCTGATTCACTTACTATGTTGCCAAATATTGAGCATTTAAAAGATTCAGTATAAGAGGACACAACTAGATTTTTCAGATTTCCTCCGTCCGTGATAGCTTGTTTAAAAAAAAGTATTTTTATGGGCCGAAAACATTTCTTTTTTGGTTCTGCCATACATTATTCTCCATTTCCCTACCAACTCTTTCACCTTATGATCAGCCACACCAGAACCTACAGAGAATTAAGGTTACACAGGCAGGGACTTGATCACAAAGGCAATTTCTGTTATCACAACCTGCATTGTATTTATACCTTGTCTACTAAATTAGCTTTTGGATTAGAGGCATGTTCTCATGAGCACTTTTGAAGCATGGTTATCATTGTTTGCGAGAACTCTGTTCAGTCTATGCATTGTAGGGGATTCTTCTCTGCAGTTTGTTGCCAATTTACATATAAATTACCTTTGTTTCTGCCCCAGTAGCCTGAGACTAATATCTAAGATACAACAGTTGTATGAGTGCTTTTGTGCGGTATAATTTATCATGTGACTCCACACAATAATTACATTATGGTAAAGTCAACGGGATCCTATGATGGAGATTTAAAAAAAAAAAAGTACTTCAGATAGGCTGCACTGAAAACACAGGCTCATAGCTGAAACTCAGATCAATAAGGACGAACACTCTCGAGATTCCCACTAAGTCCAAGAACTTGAGCGTTGAGTAAAATTGATCTCTGCATCACGAGGAAAAAGGGTCTCTAGAGGAGCAGCAAAAGTCTGAGTGTGATTTTTCAGAGGTGCAAAAGAATAGACCTCGGCGACCATAAAGAACTCAGTAGAAATTGTTCCAGGAGGAGGAAAAATAAAAGCCATTACTCCTTTTGATTAAAAACATGGAAGCGCAGTGCACTACTATAGGAGCCGAGCTATGAAGATTTCCAGTGACTGTGTGGATAATGTGAGGAAAACCGAACCCTGCCGACCTGCATGTGCTTCCAAAAGAAAAACCTCCCGTTGTGACAACACAATGCCACAAGGTAGACCTTTGAAACCTGAAAAGGAGCCTGATTTCGAGCCGACGGAAGGTCGACGTTTGTTTGGCTCAGATGTGGTCCTGACACTCTAAAGCACAGAGGTGGGAGTGTGGTGATAGTGGGCCGTTTGCTGGAGCCTATGGTAAAACCCTGGTCCAGTAGAACAGCTTTAGGGTTTTTTGGAATGATAAGGTATAAAAGAATAGCCATCTGGAACTGTGTCTGCCTGGGCATGGTATAGTACAATAGTACAACAATGAATCGTCAAATAGTTAGGACTTTCTCCAGCGTTGGGAGTCAGTAACAACCACGTAAACCCTTCTCTGTCCGTGACAATGCTGTAAATGGAGGTTCTCCCTTCTTAGTTTATGTCTTACCCTTCTGTTTCCTTCACAACACCACGTCTCTCGTGCTTTTCCATTTCTCCTTTCCCTGTTTCAGTGTTCCACACACCAGTCGCCTGGATCATAGGCCCAGTGGAACATGCTGGATGATTCACGCCTGAGTCACAATAACTGATTTTTGACTCTGTATGTGTGTGTGTGTGCGCGTGTGCGCCAAGAAAGACTGGCCTCTGCACCAATTTGGACCTTCTATTAAGAGTGATTCAGACCTTCCTCGGTTTTGGGTGGAGCCCCTCTGTGGTCACTGCTTTTCAACAATCAAAGCGCCACTGTGAAGGGAGGCAGTTTTTTTTTTTTCTGAGAAAGCAGTCTTTATGCACAATCACTGCAATTCAGGGAAACGCGTCCCTGATTGTACCTCACTCTTCTCTAACAGCTAGCAGTTAAAGACGGGTTGAGTCAAACAAGGGCTCTGCGTGGTGCTTGTGACTGTACACAGATTTACTGGACAGCCAGTTGTTGTTGTTTTTTTACAATGATATACGTTCGTGGCAACGGATATAAATCAGTATGCAGCTGAACGTCCGGAAACACAAGTTTATTTAGTGCCCGATGTCTCACCTGTCTGTGTTTTGCATGGATACTACATCCCCCTTTGTAATAGAGAAACTGCGGTATCAAATTGGATGCAAAAGTACTTTGACAAATAGGAATTATTTTGCGCGTCTCAAAAAATAACATCAGTAAACGGCTCGGGTTCCTTGGAGATTACGATGTTTTGTCGGGTTTCTAAAATAACCTTTTATAGTTCAATGACTGTAAAATTTGACATTTGGCCTGTTCCAGTTTTGGTCGCCAATTTTGTCGAGAAAACAGGAGATTTACCTTTTAAAACTTTTTTTTTTTAAATCTGATATTTCACTATCAAATATCAATGAGTGTGAAGCATAGTAAAATAACTAGTCTTTTATTTTTTCTATCAAATTTTGTTTGTTTTTTCCAGCTACTACAGTGGGGCAGCTTCAGGTTGAGGAGTTCCAAAACTACTTTGCAAAATCTAAAGAGTTTTGACGCTCTGCACTTCAGTGTGTGGGCTTTTTTGAGCTAATCAGATCATCTTATGAGTGTGTCTGACTTTTTTCTTTTTTTTTGGCACGGCATTTGTCTTGGGGACTCTGGGATTGGACACAATGCTGTTGGTGAATGATGAGTCAAACCAACAGCTGGACGTCATAGCATTGTGATCGCAGGCCTTCCACAAACCCAATCTCTGCGGAAGGCAGACAAACTACCAGGAATAGCACGGCTCTCATTTGTTTGCGTAGCGTCAATACAGCGGATCGGCTTTCCACCTTCTCTCACGTGAATTGGAAGTCTGGGCATCTAATGTTACCAACTGAGCAAACGGTTGTCTGTAAACCTAAAAACGAAAACCCAATTGTTATGAAACGGGACACCGCATTCTTGCACAAGCGCCTGAACGCACATTCCGGGTCCCTTTGGTGCCACCTCGAACAGCTCGGGGGCCGTGTATTTCTCACCAGCAGACAAATGAAATTTGGATTTCAGGCGAACGAGAGCAGAGGGGTTTTGACTTGTCTGTCTATCTGTCTGTCTTTCAGATGCTACACAAAGAGCTCAGCTGCGTGCACGCAAACGTACACGCACATGTTTATGCACACACATATGCAGGCATGGAGGAGGAATTCAATTTAGTTAATCTGGTTGTTGCTCGGTGATTTATGGCTCTGAGAAAGAGTTACAGGTGCAGCCGAGCGTAACTTCCAGCTAGCCTCTCACGACTGATTAATGCATTTTCCAATAATATGTGCGCACGTACGCACGCACGTGTGTTCCTTCCCGGTCGGGCCGATGCCTGGCAAATGACAAGAGAGGCCCGCTTCCTGAAAGCTGCAGCCGACCCGCTGCAGCCTTTATCCGTGCACGGGCTTTATCTGCACGTGCACGCCACCTTAGCGTGAATGTTTCATCCTCAAATCCCGCTCCTGGGATCTAGCCGTGGCGCTCTCGAGTTGCAAAATGTCAGTGTGTTGTGGCGCCGCGGGGGCTCTGATCGTAACACCATGGTAACCATGGTAGTTTAAAAAAAAAAAAAGAAGCAGAAGCAGTTGATCTGTGGGCAATTAAAGCTGCAACCAGACTTCTGGTATCAGTCGGTGGTGTTTTAACTCTGTTTTTTTCTTTTTTTTTACTTGCCACATCAGATGAGTAAAACATGACAGTTTTGTTGTTATCCTAAATGTCTGACAAAGAAAAAAAATGAAGGGAAATCAATAAAATAAAACATCCCCATGAACAACTTGTTACATTTTTATGACACCATCTGTTATGTTAACACTTGTGGTTCAATAGTGGCCAATAAACCACTGGAAATTGTAAAAAAAAAAAGGAATAGCTGCTTTGTCCTTGGACAAATCCCACACACATAACTTCTTTATTGAACATCGGTACAGCGCGCTGAGAAAACAAACATATTAAAAAAAGTGGATGAAGTACAGCAAAAGAGTGCGGTTTGGGCCCAGGGGAGGTGGGAAATGTGAACGCTTTTCTCATTTCATCAGTAAAAAACACTGGCGCAGAGGTTATATTCTCTCAGGATAAGATTAGGGCTTTTGTTCAGGGAATATGACAGAAAAAAAAACAATAACGCACCAGCAAACTGTCTCAATTTAAGGTGAGGACCGGTATAAAAGTGGTCCCACAAATCAAATCTGTAATAAAAGTTACAACCTGATTATTCGGAATTAGAAATATATCCATCCATCCATTATCAATGCCGCTTATTCCCTCATGGGGTCGCGGGGGGAACTGGAGCCTATCCCAGTGGTCAACGGGCGAGAGGCAGGGTACACCCTGGACAGTCCGCCAGTCCATCGCAGGGCCACACACAGGACATACAACCACTCACACTCACATTCACTTCTAAGGGCAATTTCCCCAATCTCCAATCAGCCTAACATGCAGGTTTTTGGACTGTGGGAGGAAGCCGGAGAACCCGGAGAGAACCCACGCAGACACAGGGAGAACATGCAAACTCCACCCAGAAGGGCCCTGGTTATATATATATCAGGACCAAAATCACTAAATCTGATTCTTCTTTAATTTCCTGTACCGCAACAGTTTCATTGAATCACACACTCTCTTTATCAGTGTCTGACCCCTGTTGTAAAATGGGTAAAAGTACAGTGGGTTATATAGTGTAACACCAAAGCCATGCATAATAAAGTTTTAGTAAAAACATCTTACCTTTGACCAGTCCAAAAGAAACATCTCACATTCAAATGACCTAAACCGCCCAAATCTGAGCTGGGTTTGGCTGATTTTTCTTTATATTATTTTCTAGTTTTATTCAGGGTTCCACAATAGAGGAGCGGCCCTCTTTAACTTGAGGGACACCGCCTCTCCTAACACCTTTAACCCACTCTTATGCCTCGTTCTCTCACCCTTATAAACGCCATGTCCCTCATGTATCTTTACATCAGGGCTTCTCGCATCAATTGAGCCTCACCTATAAGTCGCTATGGATAATATGAGCTGCTAAAGGTAAGTGTGATCTCACTGGAGAAAGGCATGGACACATTTTAATGGGGTCCCGGTGCCATCAAAACTGAAAAGTGTGGACCATCTGGTCTTACATCCTGTGGCATTTTTTCTTCTATTTTCTCTGTCACCACAGGGATGAATCCCCTTGAGACTCAGGACGACTAAGCATCTCACCGACTACCCTGTGGGATGAATATTTGTATTAAAGTGTGAGCTTTTGTGCTCTAAATTGTGATGCCTGGGGGTCCTGAAGCAGCATCCGTATGTTATTACTACCTTACAATGTCTGGTGTCATTTTAGTTCTGACGCGTCTGTTAATAAATAAGCTGGTTAGCGCTATATGGAATGCCTTTGTCAGGTCAATCCGGATGCAAACGGGATGTGTGTGTGGTACATATCAGCATAAACCGATGCAGCACCACGACTGTCACTTGCCACATATGATCCCTGACAGGATGGATCATCATTATGTGGCGCGTGGAATGATTTGTCCCGTGACATCTAACCACACACGGCTCAGTGACTCCCCTTCCATTTTCACCAGTCTCAGAAATGAAGCGTACCCCCCCCCCCCACCCCCTGAACCTCCAGATAATATACTACCCACCTCTGTCTTTTCTGTCCAGTCCATTTTAAACAAGATATACGACGCAACGCGCTCACAGATTCATGGATACGGTTATTAAAAGCACAGTGTGTTAATCAGCAGAGTACTAATGTCTGTGTTCTACACACACACCATCTCTTTTCTATTGATTTATACATCTGAATCTTGTCTGTACTTTTTTTTGTTTCCCATACCAGGCAAATACAGATTTAATCCACTGAGCTATTAATTTCACGCCACTTGAGCGTCGTGATCCTTTTTTTTTTCTTTTTCTTTGGACCTATTCATTTTCTACTTAATCAGATCCAGCCGTATATAATTGCAGTCGTGGAGATTAGTGCCAAGACAGGAAGGAAGAAAATGACACACTCTCTCGCACACGTATTAATACATCCATCCACAAAAGACTGAAACACGCGCGCGTATTAGTGTGTGAGCGCACGCGCAGGGGCAGCAGCTGACAAGCCGGCTGATGGTGCTGAAACTGGAGATGCTGATCTCCCCCCTCGTAGTAGAATCCCCCCCCCCTCCTCCCTCTCTTATTCTCCTCTCCAGCAGCATAGTAAAAATGCTAATGTGAGCGTGTTCGTGCGTGGGCAGCAGATCCACGGCGTCATTCAGAAAAGGTGAGACGGTGTAGTGGGAACATACGAGAGGATGGAAGGGGAAAAGTGCGCAAACGTGAGGATGTTTGCATCCTAATCATAGAAAAAAAAGG